ATATATATCATTGCCTTTATGTAAAATTAGAATTAAGAAATTTAATTTTCTAAATTACAGTTTTAAAAACTTTTCAAGAGGCCACTTGTATTACTTAATATTTGACAATTAAGATTATATATATATATATATATATATCCCATAATATGATTTTGCAGTTCATATAAATGCATTTTTTAACAATTTTTGTTACATTTATTTTATGTTTAGTGCTTAGAAAATGAATTAGCTTCATTACAAGAAAGTTCTATGGTAGTAAATGCTCAAAGAGAAAAATTAAAACGTTTTAATTCAATGGAAAATGAACTTATTTCATTGAGAGAAGAAGTAGCTACCTACAGGTGATAATTTTTTTTTTTTAATATAAATCAAATTTCTCAAATTCATTATAATATTAATGATTTTTTATTTCTTTGTAGAAATGATGTTAAGCAAACTGAAATTTTGGAAAACAAAGTTGCTACTCTTGAGAGTAAATTAAATAAATATGAGTTAATTGAAACAGAAGCAATGCAATTACGATCAAATTTAGCTGTAAGTGAAGATCGTCTTAAAAAATGGGTAGATGTTTGTTTAGGAATTTGTGAGAATATCACTGAAAGTCAGTGCTATCCTGAATATTTACGCTATTATGTTGATAATATTAAAAAAAAAGATTTAAATCTTGTTAATGAAAAAGGAGAATTGCACAGCAGGTAAAATATTTAATAATTTATTAACTTTGATAATTTATATAATATAATTTATATTTATTAACTTTAATTTATTAAATTAGTTTTTCCTTAAAATATTTTTATTTTGTGTATGACTAAAGATTGATTTTTCAGCATTGCTCGATTAGAATTAAAAGTGGGACAGCTTGAAAATGAATTAAGTAAAGCAAAAGAACAAATAGCAGTGGCAACAAATAATAATAATAAAATGGAAATGACTATAAAACGTATAAAGAAACAGTTGTACATGATTACATGGGTAATATAAAAAATAAGATAGTATATAATTATTATTTTTTTTTTATTTAATAAATATTTACTTCTATTCTAGGAACGCAATGATTTAAGAGACTTGATTGATTCATTTCAAAAAGAAGTTACTATTGTTGGCAATATGAATGGAGAAGATACTAAAATGGAAGTGTTGGAAAAAGCTATAAGTGGTTATAAAACTCGTATGACTCAAATTGAGACTGATCCATCTTTGTATGCTCCTACTGATAATGATAAACGTTGGATTGAAGAAAAAAATAAACTTTTAAAAGAAAAAGAAGAGCTCGTTGTTAAGTGTAAACAATTAGAAGAGAAATGTATTGAGTTTAAAGACCAAATAGATCATAGAGCATTAAAAGGAGATTTTAACTTACGAGAAACTAAAATTTTACACTTCAAGTATGTTATCATTATAGCATTTTAATTATGTTATAATTAATTGATAGAATAATTAGAATTTGTCCATAATTATCTTGATTCTCTAACATATTTTTGGTAGATATATATAAGAGGGAGAGATGTATTTCTAACATTGTGACAATTTACAAAAAATATTACAGTTAAGTTATTCATATTATGCATATGAATTTTAAAACATTAAATCATTGTATGCTCAGTAAATATTAGTGGTTACCGATTAATTGTTATTGTAACTCAAATTGTTGAGATATTTAAATTATTTTATTAGTTATGAAGACCTTATATATTCTTTTATGTTTTAAGATACTCTTTTATAGTTTATTTATAAACATTAAAAGTTTAAATTATTGTTTCAACCTATTTTAAATAACATATTTGTTCTATTTTATTAAATTTAAACTTCATGTCAATAGGTAGGTTTATTTTGTAGATTTGTTAGTGTTTTAACTATTAAAGGAAATAGATAGACTTTTTAAGAAAGAAAAACAATTTATTTCTCATTGTCATTTTGTTCAATGCTTAATATCAGTAATATTTTTAAAATGTTAAATGTTTTTTTAAGAATGAATCCGGCATCAGAAGGATTTACTCATCACCAAAATGAATTAGCCAAAGCTAAACAAGAAATAGAAAAATTAAAAGAACGCATTAAAGCTATGCAAGAAGGTATTTCTATGAATCTTACTCAAGTAGTTGATACCAGAGTAGAAACAAATTCATCACAAGAAGTAGAAGGTTAATATTATTTAATATAGTTTTTAAATTAATTGGTTTCTAATGTTTACCAAATATATTTGGTTTTAGTACTCAGAGAAAAATTAAAATCTCAAGAAATACAAAACCAAAGACTACGAGAAGTTTTTAAAAAAAGTAGTCAAGAATTTAGAGAATCTGTATATACATTACTTGGTTATAAAGTCGATGGACTTCAAAATAACATGTATAGGTTGACTAGTCAATTTGCTTTTCATGAGGAAGACAACTTAATGTTTCAAGTATTTATTTTAGTTTTTCATACATTAAAATACATTTAGTAATTTATTGTCCTTATCTTTTAGTTAAATGAAGGTTCTATGCATTTACTTGAAACTTCATTTTCAAAAACTATTGAAGAAATGATAAATTTACATCTTGGTCAACAACGTTCAATACCTGTTTTGTTATCAAGTTTGACTATTGACTTATTTAATAAGCAAAGTATGATTATGACTGCAGATTCAACCAGACTTGAATCCGTCACTAATTAGACTGGAAATTTAACATAATATAAATAAGATTTTTTTTTTTTATTGAATTCATGTTTTTTCCAATATATTCATGTATTCTGATTATTCAGACGTTGTTTTGTAATTTTCAATGTTCACTTTATTTGACCCTCAAAATTATATTTTATAAATGTATTTCCATTACAAATTGTTAATTAAATAATTTATTGATAATAAATGCAACCTAATATATGTTGCTCAACCTCAGTTCTTGTTTTTCCTTGATAATATCCTTTATCCTTAATCATTGATGTCCTAGAGGTTGTGGCTTTTAGAATCTTGTGGATGATTGTGCTGCAATATTAATGCCTCTATTTGATTTTTTATTTTCAGTGTGAATTTTGAGTACTGTTATATTTTATTTTGCATAAAACATGCTAGGAATAATTTATGAAGACATTCTCAAACGCTTACATTAACTTTATTTAAACATGTTACACACATAAAAAAATTTAAATTTGATTCAAAAAATGTGTTTTTATATATTTTTATTACTGCATTCTCAAGTAAAATATAATTATTTATTTATTTTAACATTTATTGTTTTAATAAGATAACAGAATGGAGATTTATTTTTTTAAATCCAGTAATGATACTACATTTTTAGTCTTCTTCGATTACGTTTTAGTTTTCATTACATTAATTGTAATTTACTTGCCATAAACTGCGGTGCTTACAGATATGGTTTATGTAGTTATTACATATTATACCAGTCTTGCAGTGTTAATATAAAAATACATATATTTTTGGTGGAAAATGATACTTACATTATAGTGTATCAAGTTTATTTATAATAAGATGAAAACAATTTTAGCCTCGTTAATGCCGCACTGACATTAAATTATGTGCACTAATATTTTTTGATTAATTACTGGTGAGACCCACGAGTACAGATAAATGTATAACCATTGCAATATGGTGTAGGAATTACAGTGTACCCAGGGCCGGCGCAACGGCAGTGCACCCGGTGCACTTGCACAGGGCCCCGCGGAAAACAAATCATTACTGAATAAATATTATAATTTAGAAAATATTACATTATTAATAAAAATATAATATTTTAAACTACAGTCCTAGCGAAAAGTCAAGAAAAAAATCGTTCTAAAATATATGATCAATAATAAATAATATAATATATTATTTTACTGTATACATTTATTTTATATATATATAACTAAAAAATAAAGAGTATAATAGGGTGGTCCTTAATTTTATACATTTGAATTTTAATTGCTGGACTCTCCCATTTTTTTTATAATCATATAAAAGTAATATGTAAAAAATTTGAGCATAATTACTCATCCCCTTCCCGTGCCCTAAGAGGGTTGAATATAAGCCAAAATGTAGTTGTATGGTTTTTTTTATATTTTATTCGAAAAATATAAAATTCATCATAAAAATGTATAGAACTTAAATTGTAGAAAAAATTATGTTCTATAAAAAATGTACTAACAACATTTTCGTAAATCTAATATTTTCCCTTTTAAAAATAATTTTTTTTTGTTTTTTTGACAAAATTGAATTTTTTTACAGTTGTTTCAATTTATATTAATATAAATTATATAATAATAAACCAAATAATTTAAGGTGTATTTCTAAGTAGTTTTATCTTCAAATGGTGTACTCAAAACTTGTCTTGTACATTTTACATTGTACATTGGTATATCTGTGTAAATGATTCGAATCCAATATGCGAATTATGATGTACGTAAATCTCAAACAAATAACAGTTTAGTCGCAATGTTGCATGCACGAGGACAAGCACATTGTGGGGCAATAATAAAAGTAAAAATAAATAATAATAAACTAGTTTGATAACGTTTATCAAAACGAAGTTTGTGAATTTGATAAAAAAATGGAATAACTGATAGTGGTCGACTATAGTTCGTTACTTGTATTTTTTCTCATAGTTACATTACATTACGTAATTGTTCGCGAACGTAAGTTGGTTATATATGTATATGCATATATTGTTTGATTTTATTATTATTATTATTAATTATTCAAATTGCATTCATATCATTTAATTGATAGGTATATTTAATTTCTCAGGGAGCAGTAATTTCAACGATCATCAAACATTAATCATGTAAACAATATAATAAATATAAACTCTATGATAAATCCTTAAGTAATCGACTGGATATTAATTGATACTATTTGACATTATTGTGAAATTAGTATTACAGTAATCTGTTAATGATGTCAGCTTCAAAGGGTGTTGATGCAACCAGGGTGCTGAGAGGCATGCAAATGGTGCTGGAAGAAATAATGAAGATCAACGAACATAATTGCAAGAAAAATATGAAAAATTGCAGTATAGCTACTGCATTTAAAGATGCTACAATTCAATTTGCTGATGGGTTAGGAGCGGCTAAATTAAAGGTAATACAATTTAGAATATTTCTGATGGGATTTATTATAAACCAAGATATTTAATGTAATCAAGGGGCTGACTATATATTTTATCTATTTAATTTCTGTAATTTTATCTATTAATAATTATATTTTTGTAGAATAACTGATGATGAATAGTGTATACAGATATATAACAGTTATTAAAAGTTACTTTTTACCTATTTATTAATTTAAGGTTTTTCTTCTAAAAACAATACATTTTATTTTATAGCTACCTAATTTTAATTATTTTTTTCAAATAATTTCTTACCAAAAGTTTAAAATAATTTCATGCACTTAATTTTAAAATATAATTAATATATTTATTTCACTCATTTATAAGTGTTGTGAATTCAGCTTTTCAGCCTTGATTTCTCTTTTTAGTCCATAAATAATTTTAAAAAAAAGATTATTAATAATTATTTAGAATTATTATTTTAGAATAATTTATAATGAAATAAAACATTATTTATAATTAGATATTTTTGCTGAATAAATGGTTTTGTATTGTTATATATATATATATATATATATATATATATATATATATATATATTTAATTATTTATTTATTTATATATAGCAAAATTATAATACTAGTTAACTATTGACTAACTTCATTGAAATACCAATAAATTACGTAACATCATCAAGTATTCTATTTCAAATTCCAAAGAAAATCATTCATATATACATTCTAATTTTGATCTATTTTGGTAAATGAATAATATTCCACAATTAATTTTTGTTGTGTAGCCCGAAAATATTGCAAAAGAAGTCTCTGAGAGATCTGCTATGGTATTCGAGGGTATGCGAAAAGTTATTATAATGACCCGTAAGTTATTTATAGCCATAGTATAATAAATGTAGCTTATCCTAAATTTATTTATAGTCCAGCAAAATAATCAATCTGAAGAAGTTTTACCTACTAATCCAATAGATATTGAACCTTTTGATAAATTTCCTAATGATGGTCAAGCACTAAGTGGACCATTTAAAGTTCCTAGTGAAGTATCAAGAAAACAATATTTTTATGGAAATCGCTCTAAAGATTTAGTTATTTATCCTTATAATAATAACACTTTTAAACAGAAATTGAATTATAGTATTATTGGAAACGATTCAAAAAATGTAAATATAACTGAAGTTAAAGAAAAACGCAAACCAACTGTAAGCAAAAATAGTAAACCCAAACAACAGGTAATTTAAATGAAATGAATGCAATTGGTGTTAAATATATTCTATAATAATGTAAAACTAAACTTGTTTAAAATTTTTAGCTAAGTGGTACTGCAAAACAGAAAACCGTACCATCGTCTCATATAGGCCGTATGTTGTCGTTTGGTGGACTTGCAGCTGGAATTGGTATTGGAGCTATTACAGAAGTGACTAAACGTTCATTAGGGGTAAGCAATTCTACTAAGAAAGAAGAAGGTGGATACATGGAGAGTGCATTTATATCTCCAGAAAATGCTGAACGAATTGCTAATACATTATGTGAAGTTCGAGGTTTGTTTGAATTATTTATTAATTTTTTGCTTAGTTTTAAAATCAATACTCTCATGCTATTGTATAAAATATTGTAATATAATTTTTATATTCTAGGTGCTGCTTTAAAAATTGGTCAAATTCTTAGCATACAAGATAATAATTTATTAAGTCCACAACTTCAGAAAGCATTTGAAAGAGTACGCCAATCAGCAGATTTCATGCCTACCTGGCAATTAGAAGTAATTTTAAATTTGTATTTTATTTCAAGTTAATTCCTGTGTAGTATATTTATTTATTGTTTTAATTTAGAAAGTATTGGCTTCAGAATTGGGGACAGATTGGAAAGATCGGTTTGAAACTTTTAATTTAAAGCCTTTTGCAGCTGCTTCTATTGGTCAAGTACATGAAGCTACCCTTAAAGATGGAATAAGAGTTGCAGTTAAAGTTCAGTATCCTGGTGTTGCTGATAGTATAAAGAGTGATATTGATAATTTAGTCGGTGTTATGAAAGTGTGGAATATGTTTCCTGAAGGAATGTTTATTGACAATATAGTTAAAGTTGCTAATAAAGAACTAGCCAATGAAGTAGATTATATTCGAGAAGCAAAATGTACTAGAAAATTTCGGAAGATATTAGAGCCATACAATGATTATTATGTACCAAAAGTTATTGGTAAGAATTATAATAATTAGTTTTTATTTTTACGAAACAATAAATTTTGCTTATTGAAAACTAGAAAATTAATATTTTCTGTTATAGGTATCTTAATTATATATATTAATTAAGTTTTTGTATTATAAAAAAAAATTTAACTGCCAAAAAATAATAAACTAATAGTTCCATTTATTTTATTTTTTTAGATGAAATTAGTACTAAACGGATATTTACAACAGAATTAATTGAAGGAGTACCATTAGATAAATGTGATGGTATGGATCAAGCCACTCGCAACAACTTATGCTTTTTAGTCTTACAATTATGCCTTAAAGAACTTTTTGAATTTGCATACATGCAAACTGATCCAAATTGGGCCAACTTTTTCTATAACGAAAGAACAAAACAAGTACATTTTTTTGAAATATTATACTTGAATATGATTAGGTTATATAAATGTATAAACATATATTATAACTATATACTTGTATTATGTACCTACATATATATATATTCTGTTCAACAAAAGTGCACAGCATATTGATCAATACAAATTTGATGCTGTATATTTCTTACCTTTCCTTTACTACACTGCTAGTAGTAGTGATGTTGTGGTGTAGGAATTTATGCGCTATTACTGTGCTATGTGCAATTTTTCTTTAAACAGAAAACATGATTATGTTAGGTTAGTGATAATGATTACTAATATATTTGTTGTTATTATTATAGCTGATCTTATTGGACTTTGGAGCTACTCGATCATTTGATCAAAAATTTCTTGGTGACTATTTAAAAATCATTAAAGCAGCAGCTGATAATGATCGATCCTTAGTTCTAAGTTTGTCCAAAGAAATGGGTTTTTTAACCGGATTTGAGACCAAGGCAATGGAAGAGGCTCATGTTGAAATGGTAATGATTATGGGAGAAGTATTCCAGTATAAAGGGGAGTATGATTTTGGCTCTCAAAATTCGACCAAACGCATCCAATCATTATTACCAATAATTCTTCATCAACGGCTGGCACCTCCACCTGAAGAAATCTATAGTATTCATAGAAAACTATCTGGTATCAGTAAAATTAATTTTGTTATAATTATTCAATAAACACTAACTATTTTTTGTTTTCAGGTATATTTTTACTTTGTTCAAAATTGAAAGCAAAGTTTATGTGTCGAAAATTGTTTTACGATACTTATGAACAATTCAAACACAAATATTCACAGTTGCAGTAATAGGAACTGTTGTAAATAATATAATTAGTTATAAATAGTTAATCTAATAATTAAGGGAAACACAAGAAAAAAAATCAAAATTTTTTAGATAATATATTGTTTTTATTGCTTTATTATTATTTTTTTTATTTATTGTTTTTAATAAAAAGTAGCATGTTATAAGAAGTACAATTGACTATTTTTTCAACCATTTTTGGTGTATAATTTATTCAATGTATCTATTTATTAATAAATGTATAGACCATCATTTATCATTAAAAAATAAAAATAAAAATAAATTCAAACAATAATAAATAAATAAAAAAAAACACTAACATTTTACATAATCATTAATATAAATGTCGCCTTGTTTTTATTATGTTTTTTGTGTGAAAAGTAAAGATTATAATTTATAAGACATTAGTTGTAGAGAAATTTATAAAAAAAACTTTTATTATATTAATACATTCAAAATTATCAGGACTACATTTTGTCTATCTTTATATTCTAGCAGTTATTTCAAATATTTTTGGAAGTTATATTATTAAAAGTTATTATTGATTGTCTCTCAACTCTAATGGTACTTCACAAAATCATATTAAAATTAATTTTGTTATTTTTAAGAAAGAAGTTATTTAAAGGTCGAGAGAAAATAAATAATGATATATTATATATGTATATATATTTATCATAAGAATAAACTTAACAAAAAAAAAAAAAAAAGAGACGATAAGTATTAACAAATATGGTGAACAGCCTGGCATATTTTGTCAAAAAATATCAATATTATTTCGGCATACCAAAAAACAATTACATTACTTGTTTTTTTTTTAAAAATACTATCACAGTGCTTCCTAAGAGCAAGAAGACAAAAATGTTCAATTAACAATACATAGTACTTGAAAGAAAAAACTATCACCATTTCAAAAATACCTTTAAATTTTTTTTTTTTTTTTTAACTATCCCGCTCACTTTAAAGCATTACAATTATTCTGTTTTTTTTCGGGAAGAGTGGGAGTTTTCTTTCTTTTTGCAAGTATAAATAAGTAAACTATTAAATCTGTGTTACATAAACTAGTCAACAAAATGCTAAAGGAGTAGGCTATATAATTATCATAGTATGTTTTATCTAAATTTGTCTTTGTGATGTTCGATTATTACTGATGATGGCTCATTGTTGTTGTCCGTCTGCCTCTTCAGGTACATCTGTTTGAGGGTTTCTGTGCACTCTCGTTTAGTATCAATGCATTCGACACTCAAAGAACGTTTGCGCAAACGGCGAGTGGTTATACCGGCTAAATTTAATAATGCATCAGCACCCTCGACTATTTTTCGACGTTCTTCGGCATCCTCTTTGCACAAGCTGAAACACGAAATAATAAATTATATATATATGTAATGAAAATTCGACCAAATGAACCTAATATAACTACTAAGAGTTTAATCCTACTTTCATTTTTTTTTTTAAAAATTTTTTTCAACAATAATAAAATTACCTAGGTACTGACATGAGTTATGTAACTATTATTGCGTTTTAAGATTGATTGCCATGTATGCAATGCATGTATAGATAACGCACCAACACTTATGAGCCTACCAACCGATATAAGCTGATATAAAATGTTAATTATTTATTGAGTATCATCCGAATTATATTATTAATGTAAAATATATATATATTAATTAAAATATTAAATATTAATGTGCATGTAGATGAACCGGCACAAGCTATGGGCTATAAATAAATATAAATAAAATCGTTGAAAAATCAAATTACCTGTCGGTTTTGAAGCAGTTGTCGTAGGTATGATCCTCGCTTGGACATATCGTGACAATTGGATATAGCTAAAAAAAAAAAAAACAATTTAATTAAAATAAACATTTTTAAATATATTATTATGTCATGTTTTCAAGTTTTTTATTTAACGTGGCCACAAACTGGTACTCAATGGAATTTGTAAATTGTTATTTAAAATAAAATTGAGATCTTATATTACTGGGCTTAGAAATATATAAATGCAAACACATATTTTTCAAACACACATACATACATACACACACAGGTATGTATATTAAATGCTATAAAAGTAAACACTTATTTTAATACATAGAGCGAAAAATGCACAGTGAATCATTTTTTGTCGGAAAGGTTGACACTCAACAGCGAGTGTAAACATTTATTTGTTAAAGGAAATTTCGGAAATGCGGTATTTATCTAAGTGTTATTTTTAAGATGCAATATAAACTACATTGCATATTAAACAAATAACGAACATATTATAATAAATGTATTGTTCATGTTGGCTTCTATCTCCGGAGTACAAATGCACCACCTTTCATCAATGTGTATTAATAAACTAACGTCGTGTTCTGACGGCATAAATGTGTGTGTGGGTAAGACGGACGTAAATATAACATCCAAGGCAATCAAATGTTACATATACTTTAAGGAGACATTTACGAACCTCGACTAGTTCTGGATCCGCGTCAGGTTTGGATTGTGTTAGCTGCCAATCTGAAATGAATGAATAGACTTATTAAAATTGTAAGCATATTTTGGGGTAAAAAATTCGTCTTTACTCCTGTTTAGACTGACACGAATGGGTTGATCGACTTTTCGGGAATTGTATAAAATCGCATCGCGAAATCAATTTAAACACTTTCGCAAAACTTTCGTTTAAGTATCGACCGCAACTCCGTTATATACATACCTACCTTTAACGTGCAAATTAACTGTCGACTTTCGAAACGTTACAATTTCAAAACAAGTTTATACTCTTTTGGACGTATAACAATATTTCTCGTTATCTAATAGTATTATAATAACTATGTGGAACGAAACAAACCTCTGTTGTGCACTATGCGCACGTGCGGACCATGTTTGAGCACCAACATTGCGGTCGCAGCGTCAACGTCGCTGACCGTAGACATTTCATCCTCGCTCCGTTCGTCCTTGGCCGTCTCCAGAGTCTCACTACTACTCCGGGTGGTCGGGCTCGTGTTCACAGTTGACTTTTTGCTATACCCCTTGGTGTACGGAGTTTTCTGGAGTGCTTGGATCAAGCACGGTCGGTATGAGGGTTCGACCATCCAAAGCGATCCTTTGCCCAAGTTCTAGGGAAAGAGAGTAAAATAACCATTACCTATTTATATAGCAACTATCAGAGAACAGTGGCGATTTTTTTGTCGTAAATGTGTCCGTGGCGTGCACGCGTATTAGATCATACGTCGCGAGTATAAAAAAATGTTAAGACAAATCGCCACTGGTCTGCAGGACTTTAGTTGCGGCACGATTCACCGAAATCGACTGGAAAAATTAATCGTGTGATGCTCACGGGCGCTTTTTCCACTTTGCGGAAACACTTGTTCAGCGACAAGTTGTGTCGGACGCTGTTCTTCCAGCCGGTAGGTGCGTTCTTATAGTACGGGAAGTGGTCGACAATCCATCCGTAGATATCTTTGACCGGCAGTGCTTTGATTGGCGAGTCCTCGATGGCCATGAAGATCAGACATGAAAACGAGTACGGTGGCTTCGATTCCGTGTGTACCTGTAATTTTGAACATGACGCGTATGTTAATCGGATACACACGACAATTATATTAATTAACAGTCTAAATCATGCCAATCGTACGTAAACGGGGAGAACAAATATAATTGGACGACGTATGTAGAAATAAGTTATCGTACCTTTGGGTCGTAGTTTGACGACCGCAACGAGGAAGTCTTGTTGTTGTTATTGTTATTATTATTATTGGTGTTGTTGTTGTTGTTGTTGTTATTGTTGTTGTTGATGGGTAAACCTGCCATGGTGGGCCAACACCGGACTGGCGATATTGACTGGCCACTAGACGAACGCGAGTCCGACGATGCGTCGTCCGCATAATCAGTCTTTGGCAGTTCGTGAACACCTGCGAAAAAAAACCATTTCAAACAATAAATTAAAGCTATTTGCATTTGTAATAACTTTTAATCACAATTGGTCTTTGAGGACGAAGATAATAAGAGCACTTTTTTAATTAAATTAAATTAATAAAAATGTGTTCATAAATCACAATAATAGTAATGTGAATTCTTAATATTAATAAATTTATATTAAAAACCAAATTTAAGTGCAAAGTTTAAAATTATTCATACATTTAGCAAGACTCATTCATTTTAATATATTTATTTATTTTATAAGTCCATAAATCCTTAACTCAATAGAAGTATACAATCTTAGAGAAAAAAAAGGTGATACTAAGTGACCCTCTGTATTCTGTAAAATGGTAATAGTTTTAATTTGTTGTTTGTTACAATTTGACGATATTATTTTTTAAAATCTCTAATATTTACTAATCTAATATTTACGCAGATTGTGTATAATAAATGAATAGCGATTTTTGTTTGATTAATAATATGTCAAAATACAAAAGCAAAGTACAAATACATAAGCATTGAATTTGGTAAAAATACATTAAGAATAATGTTGAACACAATGTATAGGTATTGGAATTGTAAACAGTAGACTAAGTGTGTCCAATGAAACATGTATCGTAAACTTATATATTTTAATTAAATTACACGCCGAGGCGACTAATCTTTTTTTTACGATTGATCAAAGCTGATCCCGAAGCCGTTAGAAGGTTTAGTTTAATGACAAAACGTTGACCTTAAACAAATATTATAATAATATAAAATATAAGTAAATTTTTAATCTATAATTATTTACATTTTATTATTCCACTCAAAAATAAAACACATTTTTGGTTTCAAGTCAAACTTTTAAAATATCTCAAGAATGAATTATATGTATTAATGAATTACATATATTATACTTATCAATTTACATTATCTGGCAGTATAATGCATTTTAATATAATTTTTAAGCTTTTTAAAGAATATAATATAATATTTCAACATAACGGAATTATTTCCAATTATAATTGTTAGTAATTTATACTATTTAAAGATTTGTTATTTTTATGTGACTTATAATTAATTTTAATTTCTAGTAAAATAAATAATTCTATTTTACTGTAGTTAAAATTTAATAACAAATTAATATCATGTTTTATAAATTACAGTATACTTATTATGGCTTCAACAGTTTTTATAATTTATTATTAGTTACCAAAATAAGTAATTAAATTGTTGAGTTTATTTTATATCTCTATGAGTTACAGTGGTATCATGATTGAATACTCAATTAACTTATCTATACTGCATAACCTTAATTAAATTAATGTGAATATAAAAGTGAGTCATAGATCAGTAAAATTGAATTAAATAATCCGGATAATCCATGAATCTGGATTATCAAATCCGAATAATTAGGATTTGTCAATTCTGAATATGCCCACCACTAGTTGGCATACACATTTATTATTGTATTTACTGTAAACTTAAAAGACTAAACATAAAATAATAAAATAATATTTAAAACAATACATGTTAATTTATAATTCTTAATTATTTTAATATTAAATATTAATAATAGGTATAGGTAGTTAGGTAGGTACAGGAGCTAAAATTGTTCTCTACATAATTTATTCAAAAGTTGATTTTGGTATCATAAAATTTTTAAATTAACAGAGCTCAACGGTGAAACGTAAATATATAAATATATGCAACACTCATGAGTAGCACTAATAATTTATAATTATAGTGTTATTTAAATATTAAATTAAAATATCATGTTTTATTTGTTTAAAAATATTTTTTTAATTAAAAACGGTTTAAGTAAATTATATTTTTAGTGATAAATTTTATAACTGTTTTACATAATGAAAATGCTTTATTATTTAAATTTTTTTGAGTAAGCATATTACGTTGCAGTAATTTGCCTTAATAACTATAGCCATATAGATATTCGAATTCAAGAAATTTTTTGTTAAAACTAATGTTTGAATTTAATTTGTATGTATATTACAATTCTTTACTTCGCATACATTCATATAGAGCTTACGAAGTATGAATTATAAGGTAATAAAACAGTAACTCATAGAAAAATATAAAAAAAATTCTTAGAGTGGTTTACTCCAATATTGTAAATAGTTAACAAATTATTTTTTAATAGATAAAACAAATTTTAAAAGGAATAAAACTATAAATGAGATTTATATTTTTATAATATATAATAATGGCAATTTGTTGCTTTTTATAAAGTTAAGCATTATAAAGCATTATAAATAAAACATGAAACGCATTGTTTTTCATATATAGGAACGGAAAAAAATTTCTATTTATGAGAATTTTGAACGCAAATATTTGTTACGTATAAAAAAAAAAATTAACTATTAAATGCAAGTTATTTTTAATAATAATATTTTCTAGAATAATTCACGTATATTCAACTAAATATTAGTCTTGGTAATAAAATAGTAATAGTCTGTAATCAATGGTAAAAGGTACACACTTATTTGGCCTCAATTGAAATAATTGATTACCGTTGATAAGACGTAAGGTACGTAAAATTCTTGTTTTTTCGCTACATTTTGATAGTTTTTCCTTACGCATTTATTGACTATTTCAATTAATTTATTAACTATTTAAAAATCACAGAAGGTTTTGGATTTAAAAACTATCCAATAACATTGGGTTTAAAAGTTTTCTACAAAAATAATATCACCGACGATCGTTTGGATAGAAAATTTTTTTTTAAAAGACAGGGAACGCGTTTTTTGTTTACAGCAGAGACGAGGAACAGGAACTAGTTTTTTTTTTTAAAAAAAAAACTTTTTCAACACTGCATTTTTATTACAATTAAGTATAAACATATAAAAGTTACCACCTTGATTTTTAACCTTAAATTGTAGTTGTATAGATCGACTCCTACACTTCGTATAAGAATTCCTTAAATAATCATTATTACAAGAATAAACGATTGAATTGAGTAATTGAAATTAGGCTGCATTTTATAATATATTTATGTATATAATATATTTGCCGTTTCTTTCGTTAAACTTAAAGCTGATCCTGTCTTATATAGTGTCCGTATATTCCATGTGCTCCAAAACATATCCAATTTCCTATTTCCGTTAGTTTTTTCACTTAGTCCGAGGCTTGGGTTTTGAATGTCTTGAACAAAGGTTGTTTTACTAGGTAGGGTTGTTAGCCCTGCGCTAAACCCCCAATTTAGCAGGCCATTCCACACCAACCACTTAAGGCCCATGTAGGCCTATTACAATACACTTTGCAATGCATTGGGCGATGGGAGCGCCATTTTCCCTACGCCTATATTAAACTGGACCAACTAGTTAAAGTCAGTTCAATTTAGAGCTCGGGGCCCCGGGTTCACCATATTCGTACCACTAGTTAGTGGTCCCCTGAGGGTAAATATTATTATTTTATTTTGGAAATATTATTCTAAAGCACAATTATAACAGAGATGATAAAAAGGCGAAGACTTCAATGGGCAGGCCATGCTTGGAGGAGCCAAAATTAATTAATTAAAGCAGTGTTAGAACAAAACCCATGTAGGAAAAGATCATTTGGAAGACCCAAAACAAGATGAGAAGACTTAGTCAAAAAGAATGTGCAATCACTAAAAGGAGGAACGAATTGGAAAGAAAGAGTAATGGATAGAGAAGAATGGAGGAATGGGTGTAAAATGGGATGGTCTTGAAAGGCCTTTTAACCAAAAGGAAGGAAGGATATATTTGCCGTTATTTTTGTTCGTAAGACCAAAAAATTATTTTATTTAGTAATTTCGTGTAATTTCCTTTATTTATAAATTAAATAATGATGCGAAAAACAAAGCAACTTGTCTAAAGGCAAATAATGATTTTGAAGTATAATATATGTATGTAGATATATTGTTTAATAGATTTTACGACAGTGTCTTATAAAAGTTTTAAAATTTTTATTTAATTAAATTTAAAACCCAGCGGAAAAATCAATACTATTTAATCGAGACTATGAAATCAAAGTAAAAAAACATAAAAATTAACTTTAATTTTGGTCTTAAATTTTTTATAAAATTAAAATACATTATTAATAGTGTTTATTTATTTAATTTATTTATGTAGGTTTAAGTCAAGAGTTCGCTGTTTTGATTATTCAATACAAGTACAAATTACAAGAATACAAGTTTTTATTTATAATTCACTGAATATTATATTAACAATAAAACAAAAAGGTTCAATAAATATTTCAAGGAACTATGGTAATTAAATAGATAAGTTATCGCAAAAAAAGAAAATTGAGGATCATTAAGTCTATAATTAGAGTATTTTTTTGCAAAATATATTTAGAAATTATAAAAATTATCAGTATAATATGAGGGCTTTTTCCAATATTTTTAAATTAAAATTAAATATTATATTTATTTTATGATTAAAACATTTAACTTTATAAAAACTTTTTGAGTAAAGTAAATATTTCAAACATAGAAATATATTGGTTCGAGTGAAGACCATATTTGTTATATGTATATTTATTAGACATTTGAAAAAAAAAAAATTAAAATCAATAACAAATCATTGAATTTAAAAACGATTCTATAAAAGACAAATATGTCAAATATGTAAAACGGTTATAAGTGCTTGCATTTAAAATACATTTTAGTACGTCTCATTTGACATATAAATATTTAAAAAAGCTACATATAATAATGATACTATAAAAAGAAATTTTATAAATTTCAAATTGAAAGTAAATATTTCAACCACGAGGACTGTTCGCAATATTAAAATGAGTTATGATTCTTGAAATATTTTTTTATTAGGTGGATTCACGGAAGTTCATTTTTTGAATTTTACAAATAATTTCCGGATAATTGTGAATAACTACCGAAAAATTATAAAAAAAAAAAAACCGTATTTATAACTAGAATATATTTTTCGCTGTAATCAAGAAAATAATTATCAAAGAAACTTGACATTTTTACTATATGTTTATTTTACCGTTCTCTAGAAATTATATAATTTTCAAAAAATGTTGTTTTTGTTTGTTGTTTAAAGATAGACATATACGTATAATTTTCTCGTTTTATTAAATAATTTTTTTTAAATGTTGATAAAACATTTTTGGTTAAACAAAAAATGTTCAAAGATGAATTAAAACATTGTCTTAGAATTACTTACTTGTGTAGAAAAATATCGAGAATGCATGGAACTACTTTTTATAAGCAATTGAATGTTCAAATGTTGACAAAACTCGACCAAAATCACTAAAATCTGCATACATTTTGTAGTTTAACAATCATAAAACATTCAATTTTCATACTTAATGCTTGAAATTGAATACCAAATTTTTCACAAGGTTCTTCTTAATGTAGTTACTAAAAAAATATATATTGGGAAGTCACAAAATATTTTTATAAACGTATGAAATATAAATTTAGCGAAATCAGATATTTCACAGAAATTCATTGAAATTACATGGATGTTTCTGTTTTTATATCAACATAAGTTTCTTAAATAATGAATTACTTATTCTATTATATTTAAAACTACTCTAATGATATTAAACAATATCAAGTTAATTAGCTTATAAGAAATTTAGTACACTAATGACCTTTGGCGTCAAATAAAAAAAAAATATTATAATTTTTATACATTTTTAAAAACTGAAATAGTTTTAATTTGTATGGAAATATTGCTGTTTATATTTCTCCAAACTTAGACTTTTTCAAAAAAAATATGTTCAAAAAAGAGAACTTAGGATGAATTGAATTAGAGATAATGAAAGATACATTAAATATAATAAACAGGCATTTTTACTCAATTTGATCAATATAGGATAAATATTGCATCACTGATTATTATATTATTTTATATTCTACTACCTAGATAAGTAACTATTTATTCTCAAACCCTATAAATTGTAATAAAACCTAATAATGTAAATATAAGTATATATATAAGTATATGTCTAATAAATATACTGTGTCACTATAGGCAATTTGATAAAATTTGTTTGTCAGTCTGTTTTACATATTTTTCTCAAATAAAAGTTGTTATCTCTCTCAATGTAAATCGAAAATTAAATACTAATAATAAAAATTATAACATCGTCCTACATTGATATAATATAATAATATATAAAATTAACTAGTTTTTATTGTAAATAATTATTCACATATTTGTTTAAGTAAATATATAATATGTAGTTAAAGTTTATTATATGTCTCGAAGGAAAATCAAAATTTATTTACATGAACCATTCATAGTAAACTGCAAATTATAAATAAGAACTAGGATCGTTTAATTATAAATTATATAAAAGTAACATTTTCTCTTCAACATACTTTTTAAAAACTATGCCAACAACGATTACGCATATCAAGATAAACGATAATTTCTCGACCTATTCGTGTTGTCATTACACAGTTTTATAAAAAATTATATTAACAGTTAGATGAGAATATTAAAATGCATGGCATTTAATGAAAATGTTGACCTAAACAACTTTAAGTAAAATAATTGCATTTGGTAAGTGCATCAGCTTAATTTTATTTGCTTCTACTAAACTATATGTTTGAATAAACTAGTGTTTATACTGCGTATATAATGGACTATATTATTAATTAACTATTATTAATCTTTATTATCAGTTCATTTAATATATATATATATATATATATTTTAATATATATATATTTGTAAATATTTATCATATGCAAGATATAAATTAGAGAAAATGTAATATTTACAAGATTTGTTCTTTGTAAAAAACAAAATAAAATTAACAAAATAGTATGATATATGTCTTAAATAATAATAATATTAAGCACATTAAATATGCGTATGGGTTTCATCAATTTGTTTGTTAATATTTTGCTAACCACACTAATATTGAATTATATTTTGTTTTTCTATAACATTGTCTCATCAAATGTTTGAAATAGATTTAATAGTGAAATTACTAATAGGTAAAAATGAAATAAATAACTTCTTCATATGTAAAGAAACACTTTTTAAACATTATAAGGTTCTTTATTACATTCAGGCTGTTTTTCTGTAATTATTATCACAAGAGTTTAATTAAAAAACATTTACGTACCTATATTCTTTAAGGTACAACGAATATTTGATGTTAAACTTACAGTTACATAAATAAACAAACTTTTAAAATAAAATACTAGATTAATATATTGCATATTGCATTTATAATTGTTATTTTTTCACTTTTTAATAATAATAATCATTATAACAAAATTTGAATGATAATGAAATACATGCATTTTTAGTTGTGTAGTTTAATAAATTATACTTGTTGTTTAAAGAAAACGAGCTTATTATTTATTGATTTTTGAAAACTATTTAAATCTGGGTTGAGATGAAAAGATAGGAAAAAAAGACTGAGATGGTTTGGGTATGTGATAAAACGAGAGGAAACAAATGCAGTAAAAGTTGTTATGAAAATGAACATTGAAGGGGAAAGAGGAAGAGGGAAACCAAAAAAGAGATAGTTGGATAAGATCGAGAATTATATTAGAGCCGATGGTGTGTGTATGTGTAGGGGATGCAGAAAATCGAGACGAGTGGAGATTTAGTACAAGGATGGCAAATCCCAAATAGTTGGGAGAAAGGCGAAGGAGAAGAAGACTTAAATAGGGTTGAATATTTTGTATAAATGTATTATTATAAAATAGTATATATTATATGTATGAAATACATTTTGTGTAAAATATTTACATATAGGTAAATGTTCATAATATGTTAAAAGCAAAGTAAAATATCAAAATACAACGTAGGTAAAGCTATGTTGTTCAGGTTCTTAGCATGGAATTATAATAATCATTTAAATTAGAATTATAATAAATATTTTTATATCCAATGCGACGTAATATATAATACTTATTATTTTACTACCTACTATTAAAGCTATTACTATAAAAGCGCTGGGAATTAAAGAGCTTGTTTGCGTATTATAAATTTCTATGTATGTTTTTTCTCGGTCCCATACAACATAGATGATTTAATCGGTGTAATGTAATACCACGTGCATATAGGATTACCTAATACATATGAAGCTATTAATTATGATTAACTTTTGATAAAATTATTTAAAATAAAATGAGAATTAATAATTTAGAGAATATCTATATAAATATTATGGTCGCAATTTATGTTATAGTGTATGAACATAATACATTAAGTGTGTGCATAATTGTTATAGCCCAACATCAATGTTCATTATTTTCATTTATGAAACAGTAGCCTGACCTAAATGCACGGAAAATGTTTTTTCTTAAAGAGACTTGACTAACAATCCGTAACGAAAATACAGTTACATTTTTTCTACGTTGATTGTTTATTATATACATGTATAAATTTTGTTCTAACCTTTGAGCAGATTCTTGTTTTGTAGCCAACTCAGTGACGTAAGGTCATCGTCCTCGTTATCATCTGTCGATGAGTTGCCTTTATCTTTGTCACCACCAACAGACACGTTTTCGGACAATAGTTCTTCCTATATTTATACAAAGATAAAACAAAATTATGAGTTTATGTAAAATCAAATTTATATGATTATTGATAAGATGAATACTATTATAATAATATATTCTTTTCACAATATAAAATTACGTGACCCTTAATAGGTAAGTAGAATTATTCCAGACTATGGAATAAGGATTAAGGAGTATATAAATCGTGGTTGATGTGTGTGTGTGTGTGTGTGTGTGTGTGTGTGTGTGTGTGTGTGTGTGAATGTGAGACATAAGTGAGTATGTACGAGTATAAAAAGCTTCCCCCAGGGAATGAAAAACATTTGTCGCATTGCTGGCCACTTGATAGTTGTCCAAGCACGTATCTTTGTCTTGTCTGTGCTTCTATTTATATTGACCCCTTGCGCGTTTTTAAAAATAAATCATTGCGGTTGTATCTCTGTCCATATAAAGCGACGTACTCGTTTGAATCTCCAGAAGAATAGTGATCATAACCATTGGAAATGATAATATTAATTCAGAACTCTAACGATATCATAAAAAAATAAATGGTGGTGTAAGTAATTCAATTATCTTATCTATGTAATATACATACACACATGCATGCAGTTATTTGATTGTTATGAGATTTTTGGATGGTATACCCAATATATTGAATAGAAATAATTCATCTTATCATACTAGCAGTGGTGCAACCAAGGGATGTGTTTTGAACCTCTTTGAACCGTGATTATAGACATTTTATTCGATGACTGTTGAACATTTTTTTTTTTAATGACATTAAATAACGTTCAACTGCCGTCATATTTAATTCATAAAGTTTTTTAGAATACATTGTAGTACTATTATGGCAGTTAAAAATGTAAATTCTAACTTATAAATGTACATAATGACTTTAATCCATGTACAAATTTTGAAATGTAATATCATTTATTGTGAAAATAAACATATTATTAAAACTATGTATACAATTACAATATTTAAGACATTGTAAGATATTTGAATAAAGTGGAAATTGGAAATCGCGATAATGATAAATACAAATGGATACCTAATCACTAGAAAACGGATTTTGAAGGCATTTACTTTTTTTTTTGTTCTAAAACTTGTTAGCTACATATTCGATTTATACCACTTAGAATAAAATGCACGATATTTTAGGTACTTTTTTTTTTTTGCTTTTAAGATACATTTTTTCAAAATGTGTTCTAAATAAACGTATTAGAAATTTTATGTTTATTTTTAGATTATATAATGTGTTCCAAATCTTATTCAATTATTTCTTGACTACCTTTCCCCGTGTGTTCAGTTTTTCACGTATCATATGGTATATAGAAGATAAATTTATCTTGAAACGACAATAAACACAAAAATATGCTCTTGCTTTGGAAATTATAAACTCAGAATTATAGCTTAGTTTTTTTTTTGTAACATCGTTTAGTCACTTACAAAATGTCGAAAATGATTAATTTTTTTTTTTTAAACCCATTTTTAATGTTTTTTTTAAGCCTTTTTGGAAGATTTATAACAGCTTTATTTTTTTTTTTAGAGAGTACTTTAGTTTTTAATTGCTTTAAAATCCGTACTCTACTAATCACTAATATTATCGATTTATCGTAGTCAAAAGCAATAAAATATTTGTATGACTGTTCCTACGTGTTTTTACTGTATCAATTTAGTTATTTGTATGTTACTGTCGTAGTCAAACAAATAAAGTGAGTAAACATACTAATAAAAGTATAACTGACATTTTTACTTAAAAACTTTAAAAAGTCTGAGAATATACCTCAGAAACTCAATATCAGCATGCAGACTAAATTAATTAGCAGCGTTGAATATTCACCACGCAATTGCAGTCACTACAGATGACGTCATAAAATAATTAACTCAGAAAAAAAGAAAATTAGATTTTGTAATTTAAAATTAGTAACATTTTAATAGGTATGTATAATAATTTTCTAAAATATCTTTATATTTAACGTGACTACTAAAATTATATTTGGTTTGTATCTAATAATGTATTATGGTAATAAATTTACCAATCTATCGAATACCAGATACAGAAATAATTACAGTGGTAGGTTTGAATAAGGTAATACAATAAATATTAAGTAGTAGTGATTCGAAATTCTATAATCATTAGCTTTAAAAAAAATAATTGTAATACCATTGGCGGACACCCCTTTGAAAAAATCTAGGTTATGCCACTGCATATCAGCACTATTCAATTATCTAACATTAAAGGTTCGTTACATGAAAACACATTTGAACCTATTCACCAATATATTTATTTACTTACCCGCTGAACACTGGAATTAACATTTCAACGGACCCACATAATATATTCGATTAATTTCGTAACGATTAGAAAATAATTGGACATAAAAACATAAGAATTTGCTCTTTTGAAAAGTTATAGATAATTGTAAATTATTGCGATAATTTTATTGTTTTGAATATGTGACGAACCAAAGTTTTATAAGTAATGTGCATCCATAAGATAACAGTACATATTATTAAATAATTATCAAATCATAGTTCGACACGTCATAATGAATATTTAATATTTTACGATTAAAATGAACTGCAATGCATGCAGTATCTGTGTTTACATTATATTATGCAACACTATAGGAACATTTTACAGCGAAATTAGCTCGATAGAGTTATTTCGGAACGAATGTTCACCGACTCGGGTGGTTAAAAAATCGTAGTTGTCGTTTTCTCTTTGATAACTCACCCTAACCGGGAAAGGACTGGCTGGCACTGTGACGAAGACTGTGGTGTTCATGGTAGCCCCGCAGTTACTTAGAGCGGTGACGCCAGTGTCTTCGTCCGGTCCAACTTGATCCGGTGCCATGTTTTCCAAGTCGGCTAAAACCAATAAACAATGACATTTATTACGTATTTTAAAACAATAAAGACGGACCCAACAAACATTTTTCAACTACGAAACCGGGTAAAAATACCACTGGGTTATTACCACATCAATACATAATAACGTAACGCGAGCCGAAGCCCTATATAGCGGCGAGCATTATTATTATACAGTGTGGTGAATATGTACTCGGTGTTTTTACATTACTATTATAGATATACCATTGTCACCGTATACGTCATCCCGGGAGCGAGTGGGGTATGTGTAATATCATTTTGTTTGGCAAACCGTAGTATAGTACAATACACGAGCAACCAGTTTTCTGTGGAACGACAATGACTCACGATGATAGGTAGAGGAAAAAATACAAAACAAAATATTCTTATACACACACACACACACACACACACACACACACACACACATACACACACACACATACACACATACACACGCACACGCACACGCACACGCACGCATATAATATACTGTAAGAGAAAATAATTCATTCTCATCCGGTTTCCATTTTAAGGCATCGTGGACGACGTTGTTTGTACAAAATCAGAAAAATAAAATAACTTGGCTACGGTAAAGAATACAGGCCCCATCATCCACCAAGGGTGTGTCGCATACGCGTGCGTGTATGCCTGCGCCAGCGTGTGTGGTTCACGGAACAATAGTTTGCAATAGCACGTTGTATGGTTCATGCTTACGAACGATAATATCGATACAACCGACGAAAAAAGTAGCGATTCCGTTTCGTCAATTTTCCCAGGAAGAGCGAAAAGAATATTGAAAACCGATTTCTTTATTATATATATATATATTTTTAAATCGCTGTACATCTGGAATTTGGGGTAGCCGTATATTAACTTTTGGATTTTCGTGAATTATGATTATTTTTTTAAATTTAATCAAGTTTTGCAAACCTGCACGTATCGCATGTACACATCGGTGTATCGGTACGAAAAACATTTAAAAATATACCGTATATCACGCGGTGTTGGAATTACATGCGGCACGTGTAATAAATGTGCGAATCGATCTGCGAATAACGAAATCACATAGGTAGTTAAACGTCGTCGTTTCCGCGGGATCGCGGTAAGGAGCCGTGGTTCTAACCGCGATTGGACGTGAAACCGCCGTGATCGTCTGGCCGCGTGGACTCGCCGGGCGAGTTGGCACGAGTCGACCGGCGAAAACGAAGTCGTACCACTATGTTGATGTGCAAGTCCGTGCAACGGGCGGGCGCGTGTAAACGCAGTCTATTTCGATTTCGAGCCGCTGTGGCAATACGCGTTCGACACGACACCGTAGCATTGTACTTGTACGGTACTACGGTGTGTATACACACGTATATGTGTGCGAATACAATACGTGTCGTAAACGGTGGCGTGTAACTTTTTTTGTTTTTCCACCCGATTTTTGGACGGACGCCACCGTTACGGGATGAGATTACTGTTTTATTAATCCACTCCCGACTACGGTATAACGTAATATTTCAGTGCTATCCGTACGGTATGAATATAATATTATGGTTGTATTATTATTATTGTTGTTGTTATTATTACACAGAAGACCGTTCGGGATTCGAACAGCGTGCGCGTTCCACTGTTCCATCCCGTACGGAGTTTTGCCGATGCCATTACGTCCGCGTATCGCGCGCGCCCCGCAGCGGCAGTACCTTTATTTAATAGGGCGCACTCGAATCTTCTTTCATTAATCCATCGAATTGTTTCTCGTACGTTAAAAAAAAAAAGAAAAAAAAAAGAAGACTTACTCGAATCGCCTCCTAAATCCCAAATTTTAAATCGTCTTCACTTTATGCTATTATGTATATTAGGTTCAATGAACATAAATTGTATTTAGTGTTTTAAATTGCTAAATAAGTTTTATAATGATAAACATAGTAATTCCTATTTGGTCCATCAGTGGATAATTAACAAAAAAATTTCTATTCATAAAGAATGTGTTATAACTTTAATACGTGCAATTGTGTGTAGAATATATCTACTCCGGCAGAACATACGAATAAAAATATGGGCGGGATTTTCATTATCGATTCTGTAGACAATCTACGGGAGACAATTCGAGTATTTGCATTTAGGGGTGTTCAAATTGTCCCCTAAACACCCGAAAACCATTCGAGTGAAAAATTCACGTAAACCTACCTAGCTTTGGGAGGCATTCCATTAGTGTGTACCGATTTATACACACCATTTTAAAAATGCGGTCACCAGACACGTAATATAAGATATACCATATTAAAATATAATAGTTTGATCGCCGTGGATTCGTGTTTATAATTTGACCGTACACTTTCATCGAGTTTTTCGCCTCTCGATATTCAGCCAGTGTACACAACGTTAAATCCGATCACTTCGCCGTCAGAAATTATTATTGAGGTATAGTAATTGTAGCGTGCGCGGTGCATTCCAGTGTACCCTGCCTGTCCTACGATGCCTTCTCTTCCTCACCCATCCGAACGAACGTTGTCCGACTTTATCTAAACAGTGGTGGTGGCAGTGACCCCGAACCGGCATTTGGTTGCCTGCGGAGTCGTTTTACTAAACTCACGATACCCGAAACGTGATCGCCGGAGTCGCCACTACCGCTACCACCGTTCCCTGAGCGTATTTTACAACGTTATAGGTCCGCGGGCAATGCAAGACGCTCAGCGTGTGCACAAATAGATGTTGTGTCTAAAACGCGGATAACAATAATTAGCTTATGGTGTATAATAGAGTCGTCGCTAAAAGAAAAAAGACAAACTTAGAAGGAAAAAAAAAGAACGAAACGCGAAAAAAAAACAGAGAAAAAGTTAAAAGTTTGGTCGACTCTAATCCAGTACTTATTTAGGACTACGGGATTGATTAATAATTATGAATTAACGTTCTGAACGCTCGAGTGCGTTTCTGTGCCCGTGCACGGAGTGAAAGTGCGTGTATTATAAATATTATTATAGCCTCGCTCACGTCGTGGTAAACGCACTCTGCCGAGTCAGCTGTTGAGATTTTGTTTCTTTCCTGAATTTACAACATCATTAGACCGATAAAACATAATAGTATTAATATCTTATACGATTCATTTGACTCGTAGACGATTAACGGCGATATCGTATAATATGTGTTGATAACTGTGTAATATAACATATTGCACAGGGATATGGGTCACGATATAATATGAAGAAGCAACGTGGCGGGTGTCTCATATTGTGTACAGCAGTACCGCAGTCCTCATATATATTTTACAACATTATAGATAGGAGAATGTGGTATTTTTTTATTAAATTATAAAAATATGAGTTTATCGATTTCAAATCGGATTCAAATTTAACGTACAAGTATATACAATAATAACACCGAAGATGTTCTATAGATTCTTTTTAGAATACAATAAATCCAATTGCGAAAATGTTTCTATGTATATACAATTAAATCCATTAAGTATTTGACCTTACAATCTAATAAAAAAGCTTCGACTGTAGTTTTAAACGGTTTTTTAATTTATACAAGATTACCTTGTTGAGGCAACTTACGAAATCTGACTTAATACATTTTCATTAATCATTTTAACTTGAAGTATCATTATTCTTATCTGTGAGATATATATACACATATTTGGGTTTATATTAAAGTTTTATACTGAAAATCATAGCTATCAGTAATAACTGAAGAACTTGATGTAAAAACTAAAAATAATTAATTTTGAAATTAATTGTATGATAAAATATAAATTTTTTATTTTTATTTTTGATGTATAAAACATAACGTTGTAGTGTACTATGATTAAAATTCACTTAATTTAATATATTTTAAGTTAAGCTTTATAAGAATAATAGAATAAAGAATATACATCTATACATATTGAATATACATATACAATATATATACACATAGTATATGTATTGCGTTGTTTTATTATCTAGTCTCTATATGTTAAGTTTTACTTTGAATCATTTAAAAATATAATTTATGAAATATTTATTAAATATTTGTATTATTTTTAATTGTTATGAGTAGTTATGTATGTCAAATGTTACTTGATTAAATATTAATTTAAATACATATTTATTGCATAATATATTATTATGAAAACATATGATGGTAGGGAAAAATATAAGAAAATAAATTAACACATTTTAGTAAATTACTATACTTAAATACAAGTATGATTATTTTATTTGTATCTTTCATTGTTTTGCTAAGTTCTTATTTTGACTTAAAAAAAATTAATTTTAAGTATAGTTTATTTTTATTAATAATTATATTTTCATTTTGAGATTTTTTTTAAGTGCTTTAGCAGCATAATTTAATATTTATACTTCGAATAAGACTATTAAGTAAAATTAAATAAATCGTTATAATTAGCTCTTAACAACTATACTATAGTGATTACTATAATACATTCTTCCATACACACACACACACACACACTTAAAAAATATACTTGAGTAACTCATTTAATCTTGTTTTTTTTAATATGATATAATATGATAATCTCTATACTAAATAAATTATTTAATTACAGTTACAAAGTAGTAGTTACATTTTATAACAACAAGTCGTTAACTTAAAAATATTTAAAATCATGTATATAAATACTAAACTTATGGTTTAACCAATTATTCATGTATGACATAATAAAATGACGTAAGATCTAGTGTTATAGGAAAATGATTATTTCTATGTCATTATGCGTTTGAAACATAAGTTATAAGTCAATATTTTCACATAAATTATAATATTGATTTTAAAAATTACATAATGATTAAAAATTGCGTTTTGTATGTGTACATTTATTTTTATTCTGTATGTTATGAATTTCTTTAATCTTTTATGGATTTACATATATTTATAATATTACCTTTTCTAGATATATCCAATGGATATTATCTATGTCTATAGTAGTAGTACACTGACGTTTCATCACATATCCACTATTAATGTATACTCTGAACATTTAACCGTTGGAACTTGTGGGTTCGATAGGTCACCACATAATTGAAGACATTGGTATTATTTGAAAACGGAAATAGTATTGTGCACATAATTTAAGCAAATATTCTATTTAATATTCTACCAAAATGTGTATCCAGTAAGTGATATAGGAGTTTAAATATACATGTTCAACACAAGCAATATTTTATGTACATATGTAAATAATGTAGTTAATGATTACGTAAATAATTCCTCAAGTTTTATTCTTTAATATAAATAAGAAATAAATAATTACCACGGATTTTAAAATAATTTTTTCCTTTTCAGTAGTACCTAAACAAAATATTTACTACAGTATGGCGTTTAGATTTAGTTTTTGTTCAACAAGTTACGTTGTGTTAAATAGCAAAAACTGTCATGTAATTTATCATTACTGATTATGTAATAGATTTCATATGTTTTAATCAAGGACAGTTAGTATGGTATATACAGCATTGTAAAAAGGAATTAGGTAAACATGTGGCATTTGAATGGTTCATAGATTGAAAAATGGTATTTTCATCCATATATTATGGATGTTATAAATAATTGAAACGAAAAACAATAATTTTTAATTTATGCACAGACTTATAAAATAACTGAATTTATCGATAAAAAACTATTAGCAAATTGGTTAGAAGTTTAATAAATGTATTATTTTTTGAAAAATAAATATTTCCAGTGGGATAATATATTAAAAATTATATACCTCTATCTATATATCTTTATAAAATAGATTTATATATGTATATATATATATTTTACACCTAAAAACGACGTGTTCGATGATTTTTTTCTTAATGGACTCCAAAAAAATTGGACCGATTATGATGACATTTGGTACAGAGATATATTAAGTATTGAAGAAAGATTTAGATAACCTTTTATCTTTTGTCACGATAAACCTGATAAAAACCGAACGGGCAGTTGTTGTTTTACTGTCGCTATAACAACCGAAAAACGGAAAGGAACCCCACCGACACACACCGAAGTGTACATCTAGAAAATGGTGAACACGTCTATTTTACTGAAAATATTTCTAAGAGCGACTATCTTCTCCTTCAAATACGATACTCGCCACTGTTTTTAATCTCTGTAGAAATTGAATTAGTAAGAACTTTTTTGTATGTTGAGGTACCTTAGTATTACACTTGGAACACAATAGGAAGATAATGGAAACGTTGAATTTAAAGAGCTTCTGTTTGGAATGGGCCTGGTATCAAATCTTGAGATGCCTTAGAACGAGTTTACCCTGTCTAAGTTAGTAATATAAAATATTTTTATTTGAGAATGCGTGAACTAACCTTTTTCAAAGATCTCAAAAAGCTTGATAATCAGTAATTTTCGAACTTTCGAGGAGCATGTTAGGGAATAAAATTAATTTATAATGACGCATTAGCAAACGTAAAAGACTAAGTGATAACTATTACTGGACAACATTAAGTTAAATGTTAAAAATGTGTTCAATTAACGCATTACAATTGATGATTAGGCATATCTTTCGACATAGTTAGCTGTAGTATCAATCTGCTGTGGATTTGTACACTAAGATTGAAAATGAACGTTTGCGATTTATTTAATGCAACCAAACTAAATTATGATCGAAGGAAGAAATCCACTTATGGAATACTATTTTTGTCTCACCAATTATTACGCAGTTAAATGAAAATTATACACATTTGTACTTTAAAATAATGAAACTAAATAAAGTTAACCTGGGTGAAATAGGTTAAATCAACTAGTATATAGTACATATATATATAGATCTTTTATGTGCTCGTGTTTTCAACTACTCGTAGTAATATAATAATACATAATATAATAATAAATATATAACGAATTATTACTTAATTTTTTTTATAGAATTTTTTAGTTTAACTTAATTAATCTCCATAATGTTATTTTAATATTTTAAATAAAACGTATTAAATTTTGGATTTCTGTAAATAGGTTGGAATGATTAATCATTTTAAAATACCTTGTAAAAAATTGATTTTTAATAGGGAAATAGATACGAATTCAATTAATTTAATTTTAGTTTAGTAACAATGAATTGTATGAATATCAATATTTTTAATCAAAATAACAAAATATATAACTCAAAGAAACAACCATGCATTAAAAAAATGTAAACATTTAAAATTAATCAGTGTTTATGTTTAAGCAAATACTTTTACCTAACACTAATAAAACCTATTTAATGATTAATTTCCCAAGAAAACCCTCTAAAAATCGTACTTTTGCGATAAAAATACACATATTTTATTTACAATTGTTACATTATAATAGCAATTATTTAGTTAAAAAAAAAAAAAAAAATGGTCGATGAAATCGGAGGCTATTATAGTTTTAATAGTATTTCTTTTTGGGCTCAGGTAAGATTACGTTTTCAATGTATATACATATAAGTTTTTTGATTGATATCACACCGTCTAATACGGTGGGTACAGCAGAACCGCGGAATAATAATAATAATAATAATCACTGTCATTCGTATAGGCGTGTAGAATTTGGTCGACAGTTTCATGTTGAAATCGTTGAATGTAGAAAACGTACCGGTACGTAGAAACCATCAAGTAACATACAAATCTTACACTGCACGCGAACAAACTCGGCTCAATGCCAGTTTACAGGCTACTACGTACTACAAGATGTGTGTGTTTTTTTTTTTTCATAAGCCGTATAACCCGACCAGTCGTCAAATCATTAGAGGACCTTCGACGCAGCTACGCGCGCGCATTCTCGCAGTATCGTTCGTCGATCGTTTCGACACGTGAAAAATAATAATACGAGGAAAAAAAAAAATTCTTATAATATGAATATTTCTACGAGTGACCACGATAGCACAATAATTCCCTATTCAAATTAAGTTTAAGCGTTGCTAACAACAACAATACCGACGACGCGCGTACACATCGACAAGCGGTTGCCACGATAAAACGGACTCGCGCCTGTTACACGGAAACAAGATCGCGTTTGTGGGTCACCGGTTGTGGTACACGCGCCTTATTGGCAAACTTGGGAGCGGCGTTGGCGGCGGTAGTGGGTACAAGTATTTTCCATCCGCCGCGGACGGACAGCGAGCAGGACGCGCGTATTCGTGCGCAGGACAAGGGACACGCGTGAAAATCGCGGAAAAGAATGTGAAGCGCGTTCAAGAAACTTATCGCCGGAAAAAAAACAACCGTGACCCACGATCACCGGCTCATGATTGTGTAATATATGAGAACATATCACAATCCCATTGACAGAAAGACAAAGTCAGCAAAATATTGCCCGCGTTATTATTACGGACCACGCCTACTACAAAACGTATGATCAACGTGTTGTTGTCATGATGCTCGATTGCCTACGTAATACAATTTTCGCTGATTTTTTTTTTTTTTGTCTTTCCGTCTTGTACTGCACAGAACGTATACGACGGGTTTCGTGGCGATCGAATTCCGTAGACTTCGGATATGATGTTCGATCGTGTAGGATTACCGTTCGTCCACAAGCTGCCGACGGTGTTTCGCATCACTGTGTCCGCCGCATTCCGCCTTTCCCGGTGCGCCCGCGTGTCGCGTTCCCTTTCTTTCTTGCGGTACCCCGGGTCGTTCCTCTGCTTCCGACGGGCCCGCGTGTTCCGCTCCCGCTCCGCCAACCGATACACAGGGTCAGTCCGCCTCAACCTTTGCAACTCCCTACGCCTGTCCCGCCCTCGCTGCCACGACAATGTCTTCTGTTCATCGGACAACCGAGACGGCGCCATTCACCAACACCACCACCACCTCCAACACGCACACGCACGCACGCACACAACCGAATGTTTAGTTTAAACCGGAATTGGTTGCAGAAAGTGAATAAATGTTCGCTGTACAAAACCACAACGATCACGTGGCATAGATAATACTATAGAATACACACGTGCGCACAACGCATACATTCTTGAACGTATAATATAGTGCGTACGATTTTATAATACGTATTTCAAGATGAAAAAAATTGTTTACCATTGCAAACATGTAAAAACAATCGTTCAAGCGTTGTCGCAATAAACACTTTAGTTCGTATACAATGCTATTCGCAGATAATTGTACGCGTTGCGTCGAATTGTGCAGTGGAACTATTTCTAGTGTTTGGCGGGGGTACTGTGATAGGTATGCATTAAACGTCGTAAGAAACATATTGTAGTTTCGCAACACGTTGCACACGCTCAGAAAATACCGCCCACCTTTATAGTTAAGTAGCATACGCCACGAAAAGTGGGAAAACGCGAGTTTTTTCATCTTGTTTCGCGCAATCGAAAAAGTTATGAAGTGTTATAAAAGTTATTATGTTAGATAAGTTATAAAAATTAACGGTAATTTTTTTTGCCTATCACTGAGCTTTAGAATTCATTATTTATAAATACCGGAAATAAATAATCTAAAGTTTATAATTTAATAATGTCAAAGTACTGTTAAACGATTGATTTTAATTTTTTAGACTATTTTTTTGTATGCATATACCACTCCACGGAGCAGGAACCAATGTTCGGTAACTCATGATAATCCAGTCAACCTGTATCATAATTGGGATTATTTATATTACATGTAATATTTATGTTATATTCATAATATACTAATTGCTAAGATGGTTAGAGGTTTAAGTATTAATTCACTATAACATAAAACATTTAATATGCATTTAGACAAATATAAATGGAATATAAACCATAATTGTAGATAAAATGAAAATTGTACAAATACTGTATTATAATGTGACTCGGTGTATATGAAATCTTATCGATTTATAGAATCAAATAAGTTAAAAAATGGATCTCATTTTGAAGGTTGCGTTGAACCAAAAATAAGTTTTGATGATTTTAGAACTCGATGTTGTATTGCATTTGTTATTTGTCTTGTAGACATAATATGAATATTATACTTGGCTGAAGTATTCGCGAATGATATAGATACCGCCGGGGTTTTCAGCGCGGTTATCACGGTATCATAAACAGCGTATGAGCTGAAAAAATGTGTACACATCGCACGTGTTAGATGTGCACTAAAACACTGCGGTGGGAAATTAGAGAGCGTATTATAATATGAAATAAAAAGGAAATCACTTCTTAATCGCGAGTAACATCGTAAATGAAATATGCCTATATAAACATGTAAACTACTACTGCATTTATTAATGTATTGTACATATACGAGTATCACACGTTGTTATTATTACAAAATAGGCCCACGCCGACGTTGTTCGCGTGCGGAGTTGCTTGGCAACCGTCACCGCCGACTTTATACGTATACTGTGCGAATAGTCCGTATCCAATGTTTATCTCTAGGAGTTTTGCAAAACACTGCGTTCGTACACGCACGCGCATGGACGCAGCAGCAGCATGCGTAGTCGCGCTTAGAGCATATTAATGAACGGCAACGTTGCTGTTTTTTAATAGAGCACGGGGGGGGGGGATAGATAGAAAATGAAAATATAAAATAATAAATACCGAACAAATTAAAATGCGACGGATGATAATACGAAAATTTAATCATGGAAATGAATTTTGTTGTTTCTAAGGACTACTCTATACATATCCAAGGGGAAATAAAATAGGTAACGTTATACGCATAATATTATGTGTTCAGTTGGAATGTGCTAGCGTTCGGGCGGCGGATATAATGATAACGATATTTAACGACAATATAGAAACTTCTGGTGTGTGTTGGTTTTAATTTAAACTCGTTTTACCACATGATAATAATAATAATACATTATACGACAGCACACTGGTGGCGACTGGGCAATAGTTGCTGACTGCGATGACCTTTAAACTGGAAATCTCATGCCGACCCGTTGCAAGCATGTGACTGCATATTTATGCACCAAAATAAAATCACTACAGACGACCACTGACGAAAATGTGTGGCAGGAAAAAACACGTGTACCTATTACAGCGCTGTGTACATAGTCCATTGTACATTGTATTTGTTATAGTATTGAAAAAAGAGTCATGCAATTCGTTTTTATTAATTTTTTTTTTTTAATACGCGTTATCGAAAGCCGTAAGCGTATTACGTAGTATGCAACTGCTAGGGACGATATAATAATAAATCGAATACACGCAAATTGTAATACACATAACATACACGCATGCGCGCGCGCTGTCTCGGGTACTACTTTCATCATATACGCGTTAGTAATTGGCTTAAAAAAATAAGCATTTGTAATATTTCTTTTTAAGTACTTTACAATACAAATGCACGGAGTTAATGTTCACCATGGTAAGTTGTTTGTCATTGGAATATTTTTCGTTGGAAAATTGTCTGATCGATGAACACACAGCTTACATTTTAGTCAAAATTTAAATAATTTTACTTCAAATAATCACATATGGTTGTTAAAACCATAATTAGTTTGACAACAAAAGACTAATGGAATCGATTTTATGCAAAGTCAAACATGTTAAAATTTCTTTGTTAATTTGTATATACGCGAGTATATATATATATATATATATATATATATATATATATATATATATTACGTTTCAGTTTCTAAAAGTTAAGCAGTCGTTTAAAAGCGTAATTTGTTGTTCATATCTGTATGAAATAAGACGCAATTAGTATTAAACTATGCTGTTTTTAATTGCGAATGACTACGATTCTAAATTAAAATATTAAAAATAAACTATTTATAAAAACAGGTTATGTTCCTTGCAAATGTAATGATGAATCTTCATAATTTAATAAGACTTTATAACTTTGAATATATCGTATAACATTTTACTATAATATTTATTGTAAGTAAAATTTTCCGAAAAAATAATTGTTTAGTATGTGGCCTCGTGATATTTTGCTATAGAAGATGGACTAAAATATGAACAAATATGTTGATTCTTCACACGCATCATTTTATTACAGATTATTAGCAGCTTTATTAAAAATATTTGAATTCTATTATTTGAAAATTTAGTATAGGGGGGCGCAGTCATAGAGAATAAGGTCAATGCGGGTTCAAGGAAATACTGAATGACATTGCTAATAGCGTTGATGGTAAGCCCTACGTTAATATTCATTAAAACATAGTGAGGGTTTATTATAATATACAGTGAGAATTTATGGAAAATATTATTGTTATACTACTCGTATATGGTACGGATATCCTTTTTGCAATAATAGTGTGACATATCTAAAATATTTGACCCCTATATTCAATCATTCAACTAATGAGCAATGAGTTACCACGAAGTAAATAAATAAGTATTTATTGAAATTTAGGCAATCATGGAAATATTTGGGAACTAATATTGGAGTTGAAAAAACATCAAATAAATACAATTTTTCATATTTTATTGTAAAATTGTAAGCCTATAGATTGTTTATCAAGTTTATTAAAAATAATATATATTATATTCAATTACTAAAGATCATTTTCATTACAAAATAATAATAATAAAAAGCTCTTTAAACCATATTATATAACTGCATTTCTTACTATGATTATTATACAAGCATTCAATTATATAATTTATTGTACAAATTCAGATTTGGAATATATTATACAACTTATAACTGAAATACAATATTATAAAGTAAATATATTAAATAATAATTCGTTAAAAAAAAGGACGGATTCGATTTAACGCAATGCTTAAGTTTTCTAATCGGTTAATTTTGGATGTATTTGGTGGTGAAATTGGTCTATTTAAAAATATATTATAATTTTTTAAAATTAACTAGACTATTTAACTAATTAGTTAATGGTTTTATTTAATTTCGTTATGTTTTATATTAAATAATAATAGTTGTAAATATGCAATTTGTTTATATGAGTGATATTGAAAAAAAAAATATGTGTGCTACTTAAATTTATTTTTATCATTGACAAATGCGAGTCAAAATTAACAACATTTAATTAGATCCTAAAATTAAATAATTTAAAACATGATTAGAGATTGCATTACATTTCATACTAATTTACATAAACCCTATGTGATAATTTTTATGTTTATTATTGTTGTATATTGTTTTAAAAAATTGATTTTTATCTACTCAACTTTATTTTTTAACAGTTTAATGTCAATTATTAGTTATTTTTTAAAAATAAAGATATTTTTTGATTAGAAAAATATTTATTTTAAGTTTTAAGATCCTTTATAAAATTATATCTACATATAAAAGGAATTTATGAATTATAAATATATTTTCAAATGTTTGAGTCAGTAAGGGCAAATCGTGTTCGAATATTCAATTTACAAATAAATATAGTTATAATTCATGAAATAATGATTTATTTTATAGTTAAAAATTAAATGGAAGTTATTTTATAGAAATAATATTAACTGTCATTGTTGTTATATTAAATCTTTTAACTTATATATTAGTTTTTAACCACATTTTATAAAAAACAATGATAAGTAAAAGCAATGTAGTAGATCGTAAATAACTATGTAGTAGAATAAGTAACAAGTAATAAATATACACAATTTTAGATGAAGTAGATCATATAAAATGTATAGATAATATGAACACAATTTTACTACTTTATGTCAACCATAATAGCATATTAATTAATTAATTTTATCATAGTATTTTATTATTTACCTTTTTATTATTGAATCGATATTAATACAGATTAATCTATATTACTATCGATTATTATTATTTTACGTCTGTATCTATAAATATGTGCAGTCTATAGAATATTAAGCTTGAAAATAAGAAAATAATTTAACAATTTAAATTCTAACAATTTATTAATATTTTTAATAAATTTAATGCTTTATTAATATAAACATAACAAATGATTCTACCATCAATATATTGGTAAATTAATTTTCAATATTACAATTAAAGTTCGTACATTCGTTAATTTTTTGTAGTTAACTATAATTTTTAAATATAATTTTCGTGTAAA